TCTATACAGCTATAGGACAGGTACATTAACTTTACATTTTCAAATCTAATTTCCTCATCATCACCATAAATTTGTTCTTCCCAAATTTTCCCAATCTCAGTGTCAAATCTCACCTTTCCATTGCTTAGTCCAAAAATTTAGGTGTCATTCTTGACTCCCCTTTCCTCTTATAGTCCACAACCCACCAAATTGAAAATGACTTATTATAATGTACTCAGAATCTGACCACTGACAGCCTACTGCAAGCACTCAGCTTTTCCTGGGATTGTAAGAGCCATTTTCTGGCCCTGGTGTTCTCCCATCCCAAGTACAAGCAGCATGTCGACCATCTTTGGTCTTTCCTAAGCAGAGTGAGTTTTACAACTTAACTGTGCCCGCCCCCGCCCCCAAGGCCCCTGTCTGATCTGACACCCAGCTACCTCTCTGGTCTCACCTCCCACAATTTCCCTGTTTCGAGCAACAGGGGCAACAGGGGTTGCTTTGCTATTCCTGGAATATCTAAGTTTACTTCCCACTTGATATTTACTGTCCCCTCTACCTGAAATGACTTTCTCCAGATATCCTTATGGTGAAAGATTTAGCCCCTTTCAGATTAAACATCACCTTCTCTAACTTCTAATTGCTCTGCTCTCCAAGGCTGTAATTAATTCCTCAACTTGTGTATCTCTATCTAGAGGAACCTGAGAAGGGTGTGTCTTCTCTATTTCCCCAGAACTTGGAATAGTGTCTCTTATGTGGTAGGTACTTGATCAAATCTCTTGAATGATTCTTGTTGGATACTACCACCTTAAATGTCATCATATCATGACAGAAATCCAATTTTCTTCTTCCATTATATATTATAGCTTAGTACATGGAACCATTGTCTGTCTTCCTTAGAAACAAAAAATAAGTCACTACAACCTGCAACACTGATGGCCCCTTATTCTTTAAGGATCATGGGTTCTATCTTCCATCTATTTTCTCTCCAATTTACTCCCCTCTATAACTCTACTACCACTTCTTCCATTCAGGATCTCACTGGCTCCTTACTGTTCAAAGGACAAAGCCTATACTGCTCAATCTGCCAAGTAATAAAAGACTCCTTTCCACCTGACCATTGCCTACCCACTGCAGTCACACATCCTCATTCCCCCCTGTATCTTACTCTCTTTTCACTAATCTGGTTTCCTTTAAAGAAATGTTCTTTGGGCCCTCCCTGGTGGTCCGATGGGTTAGGACATGGCACCACAGGCTGGCTGCCGCTGCTTCAGTGTGAGTTTGATCCCCGGTCCCAGAAGTGACCCACACGTCATAGCAGACCTCTCCTGACCTGCTCGCTGCTCCCATCAGCAGTGTACTTCATCGATCTGCCTGTTCTGCTCCCTACTCTGTCTCTGGTGAATCCTTTCAACCCCCTGCACTGATGGCTTATACCCCAGTTCTGTATGCATAACTAAATAAATCTGTTTTAAAAAATTCCAAGACTTAAAAAAAAAAAGCTCTTTGAGTTTTTACTGTTTTTCTTAATATCTGTATTAGCTGAAAACTCTCCCTCTGTTCTTCAACAAACAACTCCTTAGTGATTTCATAGGACCCATTTCAAATATCACTTCTGTAAAAAAAACATCAGAATAACAGCAGTGAACAAGTACTGAGTGTTTCTATGATCCAAACAAATCATCAGTATCACATAATCATTAAACAAGACTATTAGGACAGTATTAGTAATTCCCCCAAACTACACTTGCTAAAAGTAGGCTAATAGAAATTAGGAAATGTATCCCAGCTCCCAGAATTAATATGCAGATAAGGTGGACTTGAGGCTAATGCTCTGTGATTCTAAAGCTTAACTGATAAAAACTCTTTAAGTGAAAGGCTGAGCTGACCTTCAAATGTATATTAAGAATCTTACTGAGTTTAGGTCATTTTGAGTCCATTAATTTTATTATTGTATAAGAGCTAAAAAAACACAGAATCTAAGAAGCAGTTACTTTACAAACTATCCCAATAATAAATCCAATAATTTACTCTAAGACATTATTTGGGGTATTAGAAAAAACACATTAGCTTTTGTAAAGCATAGTTGTTTGATGAGAAATAGTAATAGTGCTATTATTGCCAATGTGTAGCATATACATATTTACAAGCAAGGAAAGAAGACCAGAACTGGTATTTCCACACCACAAAGCCCACATAAACGACACCTGATAGATCCAACAGGACCTAGGGAATGTTACATCACTGCCATATTCTGACCCAGTAATTATAACTCCTCAAGGCTTTGCACTTCTTGATAGAACTTGATTTCTCTGAGCTTTTCAGCATGAGTTGTTTGCTGGATTCGCAAACAGCATCCCACCCAAAGGTGAGTTTGATGGCACCTCTGAAGAAGTCCCAGCAGGTTTCCATAGAAATGGCCCCCAAGTCCGTCTCCAAAGTGGCCCTGCTTGAGTTGCCATGGTAAACAACCATGCTAAACAGCTATATTCAGTTCTCTGCCAGGGTAGCCATGGTGACTGCAAAGGATGGCTTCTTAGAAGGACCTCAAAAGGGCACGTTTCCATGGTGACCCTAGCCTTCATACTTCCAAACAACTTCCTTTAGTTGTTCTGTGACCGACCAATCATGGCAGGCTCATTTTGAGAGTAACCTGGAAAGGTTTCTCCCCAGGATAACGTCACAACAGTTGGGATTGGGAAATGAGGTCTCAAAACAGCCTGCTTAAAAATGTGGAAGTGCCATGATGAGTCATTAATTAGTCCCTATACATTTTAGACAAGATCTGTTCTGGTAACTAACAAAAATTATTTGCCGTGTTTTTGTTAAAAGTGTGTTTGCAATCTTAATGCATTAAATGTATTACAAAATATATTGTAAATTATAAAAGCCTAAAATTTCTCTAATCTTCAGCAGCTAATAAGACAAAAACACTCTGTAGTGGACATCTCATAAACACTCAAAATCAAGTCATAAATGCAAATGGATTATTAGATTATAATGAGCTATCAAGGAAATTTTTATAGTGCAAAAGACAAAATATTTGCAAGTCAAATGTTTTGAGTTAAACTAGGAAAGCCTAACCATGATGGATCCACGCTATATTTTTTTTCCTGTGGCTTTTGTTATTGGAACAATCCCAGCTATTCTTCCTTTTCATTTCCAATATGAATATAGGCCATTCTGAACAGATGCTTGGTTTTTCAAGCCATTTTACTATTCTCTTAAAACTTTAAAATACTGTACTTTTCCTGGCAGTTAGTCAAGAGCAAATTTTATCTAATCACTAATTTAAATATCATTCAAATTATTTAATATATGGAAAATTCTAAATTTTTAAAAGAGGTAGTTACAATTCTGTATGTGCCTTGTTTGTTCATTCCAATTGACTCTTTAAAAGATAAATTTTTACATAATCCTCATTGCTTGAAAAGATTAATCATTGATTTCTTCTTTTTCTTTCTCATCGACAAAACAGGGACAATATTTTTTCCAGTGGGCCTAAATTCCACTAGTTCTGTAACTTTCTGTTGTACTCAGATTCCAGTCTCCTACTCAGTCCACGCTAACTTCCCACTTCCCACGCACATCTCAGAAATTCAGGAATTGAAGCAGAATTTGAAAAACATGCAAAGTCAAGAAAAATGAGGCTAATTCATAGTCACTTTTTAGTGAAGTTTCAATGTTTATCATGATGTCTGATTTCATAAACACTTTTAGTTTCAAGTCTTTGATACACCCATATCCACACGAACCCACATGAATCAGAACAGGGCTGCAATTTTTATTCAATTATTCACTAATCCTTACCAAGTGACTACCAAGTCCATACACTGTCCAACAGGCTGAGAACGCTTCTAGAAACAAATTAAGAGATTTCCTGCTTATTAGATGATTACATTATGAAGAGAGAGAGAAATGTAATGAAAAGAAAGGCAGTAAGAAAAACACATAGTGCGCTTGAAAATGCCTAAAGATGAGAAAATGACACCAGAAAGCAGCAGAATCTGAAGGCAGGTTGTGATCGGATTATAATAGGTTATTACCAAGGGAGGTAACACGGTTATTACTTCTGCCATGTCCTGATAAGGTCCATTTGATATTGTACTCTCCTCACTAATCTAAATCCTTAAACTGAAACAATTCAGAAATATCATACAAAACTCAATAGAAGTTAACTAAAGTAATAACCCTTTTCTTCTACTTTTATATTTGCTACAGAGAGGCAGCCTGGTTTGAGGGTGGCAAGAGATATGGAAACCATGAGCTCTCTATATACTAACCTCTATAAACTCTATAAATAAGAGCCAGTTACTGTGACTCAAAAGCCACTTCTTCAATTTTAAAATGAGAATAATTCTGATCTGAGAGCAACTCCCTGAAAATCTGAAAAAAGGTATTAAAATATACATACTAAAATACAGTGGGTACTAATATAATATCTGGAATTTGTTTCAGAACATTTCAGAGACAAAGGAAGAAAGAGGTTAAAAACATCGGGGATAACGTCAGGAACTAATTAAGACCAGTGATGAGTAAAGTGTAGTATTTTACTGATCTTTTATTATATTTGCAATTTTCCCTAACCGATTTAAGGGTTAAACTTGTAAACAAAAGATACTTTGTGTTTTTATGACCATTAGAAAAAAGTGTGTAGGAAAACCAATTTCCTTTGTTTAAACAGCTAGAAAACTAGCAAAACCTGGATTTATTTATTTACAGAGTACTTACCTTCTGAACGGTGCCAGGTACTTTCCCTCCCTTCTTTGAACTTCCTTATTTTTAAAAATTAACTTCATACTTTACTCATTCTAAGAGATAACAGAAGTCAGTAGCAGAAAAACACCATTGCTAGGCTTGAAGACTCATTTTGTCCTCAACTTGTAATAGATTTTTGGAGGAAACTTTAGCATCAGTAGATGAATGCTTAGAAACAATAATGTCTTAAAGCCCTATCCTTCTAGCAAAAATTTTAGACAATGGATTTTATATGATTACATCAAGAAAAGAAAAAATCTTACCAGATCAGTGTCTCCCTTTTTATAGGATAATGCTTCGACTTTGGAATCCAGTTCTGCTTGTATTTGGTCTCTTCTTTTCATGACACCCTTCATGTTAGAACATAAGGATGAAATAAGTTGTAGTTAGTTTTAATAATCTAAAAATACATTTAAGAATATAAGTAGTATCTCTCCCCCAGTCTTTCGCTTGGGAATATAATGCCTTAGATTTTTTACTTTTCAACCTCTAATCGCTAATTTGAGAGCGCCGAATCCTAACCACTGGACCGCCAGGGAAGAGATTAATAGCTAGTTTGAAAGCACCTATTTTAAATGTTTTTTTTTTTTTCCCATGAATCTTTTACTACTTTTCCCAGTGCACATTTTATTTGTTCAAACATTTCACGTACAAATTTGATGGCGCCACTGTAGGCCTAGACAGTTTTTCTAAAAGACCTAAGCATATAATCAAACAAAAGGTCAATAGGAGCAGTCGAAGTGTCTGTTACAGTGCGAACTTCTGGCCCTTGGGAGATCACGCGGGCCACTCATCTGAAAATACCTACAATCTGAGGCAACCCTCCAATCTGACTCCAAAAGGATACTTAATCAAATGGTCGATTATAACACGGATTGAAAAAATTGAAGGGTGTATTCTTAAGCTTTTTTTTTTTAAGTTTCAAATATATAAATTAATTAATCAAGCAGCTAAGCTTTAGTGAAAAATCAAGGATTCTTCTCTGACTGAGAAGACTTGCATTTTTTTCCCATGAATCATCATGATTTCATGTCCCAATGCCTTCACACTTCAACCATCCTTGTGACACTTCAAACACTCACCTACATCTTAAGTGTAGAATTCATCTACTTCTTTCATAACGTTTATTACAGTGCCTTTCCCTAGTGACTCACATGTCTCTGAAGACATCCTATCCAACCTTCACAGATACAAGGACGCTTTTTTTCATACCCAGTTTTCTGTGCACTTACTGAATCATGATAAGAATAAGTGCAATCGGCCTACAGATTGGAAGGAAAAACTAATTGTAGGTAAGCAAACAATTCAACCAGGGTGAGTGGAAATACAGGACACACAAGAAAAAAAGTCTCAATGAGGAGCTGGTTTTCAGGGAAGGGAAGAAATTAGACAAAAATCAGTTACATGGGGGCTAGAGAACATGACGTATAATCTGAGTGAGAACTGAGAAGTATCAAGGTAAGACATCCTGAAAACCACTCAGCCTAGTTTTGGTCTGGTTGAATCACTCTTACAACATCCAAAAGAGATGTAAACTTTTCCCATTTTCAAAGAAATCAATAGAAAATTCAACTTATTATCATGACTTGTTTTATATTTAGACTTCAAGATATAATTGCATTGATGTTAGAAACCTCTTCCTCTCTCTAACCCAGCCGACTCCTACTGCAAGAAGGCCCATTTATTTAAGGTGTTTCCATAAATATTTAGTACTGTGGTTTACAAATATTTTAAATAGGAGGTTGTTTCAGAAGACAACTAGTAAAAAATCAGAGAAGTTTAATCATTTGGCAAGGCATATACTTTGCATTATATTAGGTCACACTGAAGACAACATCCTCATACAACACAAGCCAGAAATGCAGTATAAATGCCACTGATTATATCCTAGGAGTGTACAAAACAATACAATCAAATGAGCATCTATAAAATAATTATTTCTAGATGCTATTACAAATTTTCCACATTTTTAATCATGCATCTTTTAATTGCATAATTTCCATCTTGACATAATAAAAAGCAAAACATCTAGTTGAGGACAAAGAATAGACTATTTTTAATGATTGATATTAAATCTCTTTGAAGAGCCACACAAGGAGGAGATCAATAATGAAGTAAAACAATGGGATGTAGCCAAGGAAGTTGATGGAGACAAGGAGGTGATGTCTCAGCAGTAAACATTAGAGGCCTCTGGGAAATGAGGACTTTATGGAAGGATCCCAATAAAGGCAAAGGACAGTAAAATCCTGAAACATACGCAAAATATTTAATGAATCTGTGAAAGGAAAACTTTCATAAAACTGAAAGCAGCAGATCTCATGCTAAAAGACTGAGTTTTTCTACTTTTTTAAAGATTTGTTTATGCATACAAGAACTGGGCTGCTGGCCAGAGGTGCAGGGGATGAGAGGATTCATTCACTAGAGACAGAGTGGGGAGAGAACAGGCAGATCCACTGAAATACACTGCTGAGGGGAGCAGTGGGCAGGTCAGGAGAGGTCCACCATGCCATTGGATCAGCTCCTTGGCTGGGGATCGAACTCTTGCTGAAGTGGTTGTGGATAGCTTCATAGTGTTGCGCTTTAACCCTTTATGCCACCAGGGAGGCCCAAGACTGAACTTTTCTTACCAAAACGGAGACAAATTTTTTTTAAAGCCCTAAAAATCAAAAGTTCGGAAAACAAACTAGGTATGACTCCAATGTCACTACAAGTTAACAAAAGAAATGGGCTATATTCAAAAGTATGCTGTCCTCTCCTCTACCAATGCCCCCAAACACCAGTGGACCTGAGGACATTTGTCAAGGTACTGTGAGGACAATACTGGATGAAAAATAATTCATTTTTCAGATAGCACTGCTAAAACCCCAAATATCTGGAAAACTTAACTAAGAAGAGGTTAAACGCAGAACTTTGATGTAAGAGGAATAAAAAGCCTTTTCAAATAGTGAAATAAAAGCATTTTAATTGGAAGGATTTCTTTATAGACACACTGAGGAGGCAGAATAAATATCAAGATCCTATTCAAGTTCTTTCTAAACAATGCTACTTAATAAATCTCTAAATCAAAAGGAAAGCAACTTTTTCATGAAAAGAAATCATTAAAGTGCTAAACATTATAAAGTAAAATTTTAAAAAGTTAGACAACCTGATCATGTTCCCTATCTAAATCTTCACTGAGGATGCGTCAAACCTGTGTATTATCTTATAAATTATTACTGCGGATGAATATTCCTGTCTCATTAATGTATCCTTCTCATCAACTCAGTCACGCAGTGAACAAATATTTAGTGAACATCTACATCCAATGAATTTTGTTAGAATAGGAAATAGTAGAAAAACTGAAACTGCCCTTAAAAAGGTTAGAATGGGTCAGGGATCAAGGTACAAATACAATTATGTATTCTTACCATTAAAATTTCACTGTAAAGCACATATTCATGTGCGACAGGAAGCAGGGCTTCTGAGAGTCCAGACATCCGTTTCTCAGTGGCTTTACAGCATTTGTCAATACAGCTGGCAACACCTTTTAAAGTATCAACCAGATCCTCTTCTGATGCTGACCACAGAATATGAATTGGGCCATATTCTTTCATTTCATCATAATACTCTGAAAGAAATTAAGGCACTCAGTTTATACAAGTTTTCAAAATTCCATTATAGTAGACAACAAAGAAATCATCTTATTTTTCAAATCATCAACATTTTTTAAAGACATGAACAAAAGAAAAACATTATCTTTCGTTCAATTAACTGGTCAATCCTTGAATGACCAGGTATAATCAATAATAGCATCCTTTTCAATTCTCTGATAAATTATGATCATCATATAATGAGCTTCTGCTTATCAAACACATAGGCAATGTCACATAACAAAATTTACCTTCTTTATCCTGTTGTAGTGAATATATCTCTTACTTCATGTTAAGTAAGAGATACACTAGAGCAATCAAGTAGTATACACAAAAAATCTGGGGGTTACACAGACTAATATATGCACAAAATGAGTTGATCATCAATACTAACTCATTCATTCATTCTCCCTGGCTCTGTGTATATGTAGGTATGCAGATAGATGCACAGATCTACAACTACACAGAGCTATAGATATGGAGATGTCAGTATGAGTCATTAAACATGTAATATTTATTTTTATGCTGTACTTCCCTAGTATTGTAGTAGTGTTGAAATAGTATTCAAATCACATTTGATTCAAAGACTTAATTAGTACACTATAACTTTCCTGTTAATATTGTTTCCCAAGTAGTTAGTGTGCTGAAAAACAGGTACCAACTTAATCCTCCTTTAAACTCAAAGAAGTAGTACACAATGTCATCAAAACAGATAAGCTGAATAAACTAGAGAACACAAAATAAAATGAAATGATTGAGTATGCACAAAAATATCACTAATTATGAACATTAAAATTTCATTGAATGACTATGAAGGAATTGCCCTATGTAGTTCAAATTCCCCAAGCTACTACTTATCATTCTGAATGGGATCTTGACAAGTGAGTTTCCATTCTGAAGACCAAAAAAACAACAACAACTCTCAGTTTAAGGCATATTGATAGTCTACATATCTCTTTTTTTTCTCACTAAACTATGCATCAAGAATCCACATAATAGAACTGGAAACACAGAACCTAAATAAAAGCACTACTTGTTCAGATCAAAAAAAAAAAAAAAAGACAAATATTAAACAGAAGGGCAGACCAAAAAGGGTCAAAAGAAATTATTAAACTACATTTAGTCACTGCAATGAACTTAAATGTTAGTGTATGCAAAAGGAAGATACAGAAATGGCAAAATGCATTCAGTCATAACCATTTTTTCCTTTATCTCTTTAAGTATTATTTAATCTAATTAATTCTTGTTGAAGAAATTGCTCTACCATCAAATCTAAATCTTATGTTTATTTTTTCAACCACTGAACAGACTATAATTGAGGATGTACTATGTGTTAAGTGCTAGCTACTGATAGATATCAGAAATAAAACAAACAGGTCTTCTACTTTTATCATGATGGAATTTAAAACTTAGTGGAGACACAAACAAAAAGATAAACCACCAATGTAAGAATTTTAAGTAATGTTTCATCTGTAAAGGCTGTTGATATTAGGAAATATGTTTGCTGATTCAGTCATTTATGTTTAATGTAAAGTAATACAATCAGTCAATTAGCAAAAAATACCATGAAATTAGAAAACACATGGGGTAAAATATAACTTATAAACTTAAAAAAAGATAAAATAGGGGAAAGTAGTAGTAATTAAAAAATAGGGAAAGGGACCTATTTTCTAGTAGATAAATCTCTCTGCCATATATAGACAGATTTGAATGTAGAGTACCTATGCCAAAACTAATGCCCAGGAAATACAGAAGTCCTATTTCCTGAAACATTCCTTCTCTGAGTAAGCCACAGTCCATGTTAGATACTGAAACCCCAACTTCATACAACTACATACAATATCTTAATCTCAGGAGGCTTACTCTATCACTATTATTTGTAAATGGTTAAAAAAAAGTAATTGATTAAAGTAAAAGGGGAATGGCCATGGCTACCTTCAAAATCATTTAGGAATCAGAAATTTTCACATTATGTTCTGGCAGAAGCCAAACTTTGAAGTCAACTCTTCTTGAATCTATAAAAGATTACATGAAACAAGACAACCTATTCCTCTCACACAGGGGTGACATTACAGGGGAATGTAAAGAATCACTGCGTGACATTCACACGCAGAAGTCAGCTCAGGAACCAGTGCCAGGGAGCAAACACAACTGTAATGGACAACTGAGGGAAACTCAGTGTGGACAACTCTGAGATGTAAAATTTCTAGGCAATCCTGCCAAAGTGGGAATCCCCCATATTGTAGGATTTAGCAAGCCCCTAGGAAATATTAGAGAAAAACCACCCTGACACATTTCCTACAAGAAGGGAAAACAAGTAATTTTAAACAGCCAGAGCACTCTGTCTTCTTAAGAAGGCCAGCCCTCGGGGGAAGGAGCTTAGCAGAGCCTAACCTGCTAGAGCATTCCAGAGCCTAACTGATCTAGGAAAGTGAAGACATTCAACTCTAGCCCACTGCAGTTATCCCTTCATATCCAAGGGGCTTGTAACACTTATGGGATTCCCAGGCTATAGCGTAAGCTCACAAGACTTGAACACACACAAGACCAGAGCAGACTTGCCCTTGACCACACCTCACCATTACACTACTATTTACAGAATTCCTTTTCCCCAGTACATCAAGTCTGGCAATCAAGAAGAAAATTACACGGCATACTTCTACAAGGGGAAAAACCCAAACTAAAGAAAAAAGCAAACGTCAGCACCAAACCTGACTAGGAAGTTGGAATTATCAGACCAGGAATTTATAACAAACATGATTAATAAGCTAAGGGCACTTAAGAATAAAACAGAAATAATGCAAGGACAAGGGGCACTGTAAGCAGAGAGGTGGAAATCCCGGGAACAAATGAAAACAAAGCACTAACTGCATTATACTAGCAAATGTGAAGATTGCTAAGAGATTAACAGCTTTGAAATCCCACTGCAGTGATTCCACACACCTCTTTCTTCCTTGTAAATTCTCTGAGATATTTTATCTATCAAATTTATTTTCTGGCTAAATATTTCAATAAAGTCAGTCATTTCCATGAACTCCTCTGGGCGGCTTTTAACTCCTCTCATGGACGAAGCGACAGCTCGGACCGTCTGACCCATTCTGCTGAGCAATCCAGGCCCTTGCTTCTTATGAGATGAGAGTTCCTAAAACAAATAAACAAAAAATAAATGTTTGTGCTGAAGCAAACAATATTCCAAGACCGATCAAAAACAAAAACAAGGACAGTCCCTGGTGGCACAATGGGTTAAAACACAGCACTATGAAGCTAGACGCAGCCACCTCATGGGTTTGATCCCTGGCGAGGGGGGTTTTCCACATGGCGTGGCAGACCTCTCCTGACCCAACTGCTGTTCCCTTCAGCAGTGTACTTCATCAATCCCACTGTTTCTGATGAATACCATCACTGTACCTCTGCCCTATACCCCAGTTCTGTACAAATAAATAAATAAATCTTAAAAAACAACAACACTGACTTAGAAGAGTAATAACATGTTTCATGTATGTTAGTTTAAAGTAGCTAAGTTTCAATAAGATCTCAAACTCCTTATTAATATTTTCAAAGTACTTGTGTGAAACATGGAGACAAGTTTTCTCAAAACATGAATCTTTAAAAGACCATGGCATAACAAAGGCAAACATGCTTAAGGACACACTGGACAAGATAAGAGTGAGAAATATGATGCAGGCTCTATTTTATTTTATTTTATTAAAGATTTATTTATTTGTGCATACAGAATTAGGGTATAGGCCAGAGGCTCAGGGGTGGCAAGAGGCTTCACCAGAGACAGAGTAGGGAGCAGAACAGGCAGATCGACCAAGTACACTGCTGAGGGGAGCAGCAGGAGGGTCAGGAGAGGTCTGCCACACATGTGGTCACCTCCAGGGCAGGTGGGGATCGAACTCATGTGCAAGGGGCTTTAGCTTCTCAGTGCTGTGCTTTAACCCACTGCACCACCAGGGAGGGCCACAGCAGGCTCTATTTTAAAACAATAAATAATTCTACTGAAATTTTGATAAAATAAAAAACAATTGAAAGAAGGTATCATGGAGTCTAAGCTACTCTCTGAAAAACTGAAAAATTTCATTAATTCTTCAGTTATATTAGTTTATATTTATTTAAAGCTTATTTCATATTTCATTCACCATACACATTTATATGTATACAGACTCATATACACACATATATGCATGTGTGTGTATACACACACACACGCATATATATACATATATATACATATATACATATATACATATATACATATATATATATATATATATATATATATATACACACCAATTCATACAACACTGTCAGGTAGGGTCCATTACCCTTATTTTACAGAAGATAGGCACAAAAATGTCAAGGGATGTGCTCATGGTGGGGGGTGGGTGAGGATCAGAGACCTGGCAGTCTGATCAGAGAGGGTGCATAGCTAAGCACTAAGCTGCTTCCATTTCTTAAAGTCACAAGGATAGTTTGTAAATAGATACTTCTGACCACAGTTCCACTATCCCCACCAACAAACTGTACAGTAAAGATTTTTAAAATTATGTAACTAGCTGTCACAGTTAACCTAGACAAGATTGTTACAGACTGGCAAAACAGAAGAGATTCTCTAAGAGGTCACTCTATGGAAAAGAATAACTTTAGAAGTAGCATTTCAAGCAACAGGAAAAAAAGAGGACAATGGGTTCTGATAATAGGTGTATCATGTGCTGAAAATAGGTTTAACTAAGTAAAAATTGAAGAGTCTCACACAATCTATAAAGAACATTACTAACAAAGCCTATTGTGTATTATTTACTGAAATATTAAATGCTGTTATCTTCCCTATATTTCCTTTCTCAAAGGTCTTACAGAAAATCAGTACATGTAATATAAATGCATATGTACAACATGCTTGCTTATTTGTACACTAAATCAGAGTAAATATTATCGGAGACCACACAAGTCATAGGAAAGCTATTATTGTAACGCTTTACTGTGTACATTATTTTTTTTTTTTAAGATTTATTTATGTTTACAGAACTGGGGTACAGGCCAGAGGTGTGGTGGGTGAGAAGCTTCACCAGAGACAGAGTGGAGAGCAGAACAGGCAGACTGAGGAAGTACACTGCTGAGGGGAGCAGTGAGCAGGTCAGGAGAGGTCTGCCGTGCCATAGGGGTCAGCTCCCTGGCTAGGAATCAAACGTGTGCTGCAGTGGCTTTGGAGTGGCTTCAACTTTAACCTGTTGAGCCACCAGAGAGAGCCCTGTGTATAACATTCTTAACAATTTTGATGATTTCAGAGTCAGTGCACAAGTTTATTTCACAAAAGTTATAAAGCATTTCCAGACATCAAGATGATCCGTAACACTTTTTAGCTTCTGTCATTTTGGTAGCAGTGGCAGTATAAACTCAGTGCTATTCAGTTATTGTTTCCTATGGACCCACCCATTGTCCTCTTTGAGTTCTACCTTCTTTGGAGAGAGGAATAAAAAACAGATGGAAATATAAAGTTTTAATTTTTTTACTAGATATCAGACTTGCAATTAGGTACCTTTTGGAAGAAAATGCAAAGAAATTCTATCATCCACCCATCCATCCATTTAATAAACTCTTACTCTAACTTGAAAAACTCTTACTCAATATTAGTCAAAACATCAAAGCATCAATTAAAAAAAAAACACATTCTATGTGTTCAGTACTGGCAAAGTATGCAGAGTACCCTGATATTTTTTAAAAGAGCTATCAAGAGAAAAGTGAGTGTGTGTTAGTGAAGAAAATATGAGACTTTTGTAATGTTTATATGAAGGTTTGCCAAAGGGTGTATCTTGCCAATGTTTTTTTTTTAAAGATCCATTTGAATTCAAGAGCCCATTGACTTTTTTATAAAAGTAAACTAGAGGAAGCATATGACCTACAATACACAGGTACTAAAATATTATATGAGAATAAGTCAAAATTTCCTACCCAAGCTTGTGCAGTAAGAAAAACTTTGAAGTCTTCATTAAATGTTAAAGTTGGGTGATCAGCAATTCGGTTCAAAAACTTATGCAATGCCTTCCTGCGTGTCTCGATGAAGTCATCATTAAAGCGTTCCACCATCCCTTTGACTATAAATTTTTCTGGCAAAGGCTGAGGGAAAGAAAGTATTTGAAGTTATCTGAACATTATGTGATACATATTATTAAAAAATTCGTTTTTTGAAGACTATTTGAACATGTGGTCATTTTTTTTTCTCTTTTTCCAAAAGTTTATTTTTACCTCATTTTGCACATTTTTTTT